CTCGGCTAGGACAGAGGACAGCTAGGAGGCTCCTTTAGCCCTTAGCTTGGATAGCAGCATCTCGTTACGCCGACACTCCTGTGAAGAGAAACAACATAAGCCGGTAATTAGACAGCGACACCTCTGTCAGTAAAATGATTCCAGCTGGCAACTTAGTACTTCCTCATAGAGGTCATGAGGGGCTGATACCGGGCCGCTGGCCACCCAAGTAATAACTAATCGTTTCTGTGTCTATATTCTCCGAGTCTGAATAATCTTTTATTTTGTTAATTCTTCTATTTTGAAAAATGACCAGATTCTCTCAGTTACATCTCGGCCACTTAAGGGCCCAAAATTTAACCCACAAGTTAGAAAAATGAGCAGAAAACAAACGTCTTTGGAAAGTTTCTTTTGGAAGGGAAAAGGCCCAAAGAAGAGACGGCTTCCAGGAAAATAAAAGCTTTCAACAGTTCTACTTTAAACATGGATGTATTCCCACAGACTCACCTCTTTGAACTCTTTGACGGTTTTGAAGTAGAGCCTCTGCTTGTCCAGCAGCTCCAGGTACTCGTCATTCAGCTGGTCTCTCTTCATTTTGTTCTCCTGCTTCTTTCTCTCCATCTGGACAAAAACACCCCCATGACTGTTTAACCTCTTAAAAGCTGCAGCAGAGTCCTGTGAGAAGCAGCAGCACAGGTCAGAGTCCTGCGGTCTCAGCTCCTCCTGCTGTCAGAACCAGGTCAGAACCTGGAGGCTTCCAGCTGAGCTCTGCTCTCAGGCTGCAGCTCTACTGGTGGAGCCCATAAGTGACAGATTTTCCACTCTATTAGGCACCTTCAATTTTCTCAAAAACCAACAGTGCGCCTTATGTATTGATCTGGATTTAGTCGAAACAGGTCCCAGGAAGCAGCCGACTCCATTTTCTCCCCTGGAAGAGGTAGGCGCCACCTTCTGGGGATCCACTTTACTGCACAGTGTACATATCTGTTAGTCCCCATTTTAAAAGTGGACGCAGTGAGAGAAGGCTGTTAAAAAATGTGGACATTAAAAGTACCTTTGAATCTGATCCTAATTACAACTACAGCTAGTTCAAATGATTCTTAAACAGCAGTTTTGTTTTTCTTTTACGGGAAAAGCTGGTCAGCTTTAAGCTAGCTGCTATATATTGTGATGCGCTAATGTCTGATTTACGGTAACGTATCAGACTGGTTCTGTTACCTGTTTACTGAATGGAGGAAAAGTTCCCTCCACTACCTGGTGGAAGCTTACGCAGCCCAGCCTCTACTGGAGCTTCTGCTCTATGAGCCTAATAATGCGGTGCGCCTTATATAGGGGAAATACGGTATGCCTGGCCATAGCAGTCCCACAGTAAGAGGCGTCTTAATGTCCCCCCTGAACCTATTCAGAGGCTCACCGGGGGTGTAGCACTGTCCACAGGCCTGGGTGGGCCTGCTCCTACCTTGATGCGACTCTGCTTGATTCCCTCCACGATCTGCTCCATCTGCCTGAGGAACTGCTCCTTGGCGGCTGAGGACGACATGGCTCTGAACAGGACAACAGCTGGTGAGGACCTCAGAAACCTGCGGCAGCTCAGAGGCAGAACAGGGCGGGGGGGTACTCACTGCTGGAAGTTGTCATGAATGGAGTTCAGCAGATTCACCTAGAAAAGAGCACCATCCATCACTACTGGAACCTCAAATTCAGCTTTTAAACTGTGTGATGCTCAGAGGGCTGTGGAACCCACCTCTTTCTCCAGATAGACCTTCTTATCATCCAGTGTGTTGTAGAGGGTGAAGAACTGCTTGGTCTCTTTGTGTGTGGCGGAAACTGGGGGGCAAAGCGAGAATCAGCAGACTGTTTGGAGCTCCATAGCCGTCATTATACTCCATATAGCGATCAACACAACCTTCTGCTCTCATATCCGTGGGTCTGAGGAGGTACAACTCTAATTTCTATAAAGTTTTAACTGCTGGGGACGTGAATTCAAGTCTGTGTGTCGGAGTAGAAACTAGAAATGGGTTGAGATGACCTCCTGATCTACAGCCCAAACAGGGAAAACCTGACAGTATCTCCTACTACTTTCCAGACCCCTGCAGCCTGAGGCTGCCTGAGCAGACTCCGGCTGGAGCTGAGGCAGAGGAGGACCCACCTTGGCTGTAGAGCTCGATAAACCTCTTCTGGTACTGGGTCAGCTCTGCCCGGCTGGGCACCTCATCAATCTTCCTCTGCAGGATTGCAATCTCACGGTTTCTTCGAGCCTAAGACAAATGAATCCCGACTTTGTTAGCTCAGAGAACAGGACCTGAATGCTGTCAGCTGACACTCACGGCCCTTCTGGATGGCAGCTAACATGCCAGCGGGGAGGTTTCACATTAAGGTTAAAGAGGGGCTGAATGATCCCACAGAGCTGTTCCTCAGAGGTCCATCTGGACCTTCAGACTGGTTCTGGTTTTCATGACTGAGTGTTTAATGTTTGTGGTCTTGACACCCAGTGATGTCATCAGCCGTTAACAGGGCTGATCAGATGTTAGAGATGTGAACCTGCAGCTAACCCCGTCCTCATAGGCACTGAGAGATGATTGGTCAGACCTTCCTTGACTCCTGCTGTTCATAAACCCTTCTTCTGTTGGGGCAGGTCAAAGGTCACAGGTGCCAGAGCAGAGCAGCAGAGCTGGGGGAGCCTGGACAGCAGCTTACCATGAGCAGGCGGATCTTCTGCAGCTTCTCCCGGTCCGCGCTGTGCTGTTTGTCTATCAGCTGGCTCCGCTCCTGGAAAGCCCAGAACAGCAGAACAGTGAGGTGTTGAGAGCTGGAGCCTCTCAGATAAGCAGCCTCAGCATGTTTCTACAGCCAACAGCTACTGAGGGGATCCAGCTGGAGCCCACCGTAGCCTCCATATGGGGGAATGGGGGCCTGAGGCCGTTAGCGGCAGCAGTCAGAGGAGAAAGGCAGCCAGCTGCAGCTTTAGCTGATTTTAAAGCCTTTGGTGCCCCACTTTAGCTGTGGTACCAAGGCCCATCGTCCAGAGGGAGCCCAGCTGACCACAGAAGGTGTCTGTCCACATACATTTAAGGGACTTAGCTTACTACAGTTTAATTGGTTATGGTCCATTCTGGGCTGGTCCTGATCCCATATCTGGATCCGATTGGACGCCGATATTTGCAAAAAAATGCATATCAGACGGCAGATCCAGACTCCAGATCCATTTTTTTTTTTTAAAGTCTGATCTGTCCATTTCTGATGCTGAGTTAACAGACTATTTTCTATTCAGGGTGTGTTTTGCCTTTTTAACACAGTTTACAATATTATTGTCACTTTTTACTGTTCACTGATGCCATTTCCGTGAGTTATCTATAATTTGGTGTATTTAGTGTTTGTCCCTGAATAAAGAGCTCAGTGTCTCTTTACCAACCAGTGTGTGTTATTCAGACTCCCCTAACTCAGCTGCTAGTTGTTATCAGAGTAAATCCCTGTTCAACAGGAGTCTGACAATAAGGAAGTAGATAAGTAACTTTAGACTTTAGGACGTGCTCTGATAGGCCGGGATCGGATCGGGACGTCTCTAGTCCATTCCTCATCTCAACAGATACACATGATGCCCCCCAGCCAAAAGCAGGCCTGCTCATGTGGCAGAGCCCGTTCTCATAACCAGCGTTAGCTGCATGTACCCTGTCCTCCTCTGTGTCCTGTCCTGAGGCTGACTTCAGCTCCTCGATGTTCAGCTGCAGGCGGGCCATCTCCTCCTGTGAAAGCAGCAGGTCAGACCAGCCAACCCTGGGTCCCTCTGTCCCTCCCCCCGTCCGTCTGAGGACTCACTCTGCAGTGTGCCCGGAAGTCCTGCTCCTGCTGTTTCAGGCTTTCGTTCATTGTAACCAGAGTCCGGAGTTTCTCCAGCAGGCTGTCAGACAGAAGACGTTCCCGGTCACATGCGTGTCCAGGCCTCAGACCACAGCCAGGCCAGACCCTCCCACTCGGGGGGGAACCAGAGACCACATACACCCTTCCATTCACTACCTTTTCTTCTACACCTTGTTATTTCTAACAATCTGGTGTGGAGAGAGAAACGATTATTTTGTTTTCTAGGAAGGCAACACTATTTTAGGCAGATTATGGGAGTAAAAAAAGGTTTCAACAGGTCAGAAGCAGAAAGAACCCCACCCCTGCACTGACTAGCTGCTATGGGGACTATAGGGCTATATGGGCTGCTCACCCAGCATCCGCCTGCTCCTCCATCTGCTCCAACGCCTGCAGCTCCCTCTGCAGCCTCTCCGAGCGCTCTGTGGCCTGGAAACAGACAGAGGCCACGACCTGAACATCATCATGAACCACGCCGATCTGAACGGCTATACGCAGGACTGGGAACACGTTTGGGGGGATGCTGTAAGCTAAGCCTCTGTTAAATAACAAGAACAATGGTTTTTGTTTGTCAAAATCAGCAAACAGCAGAAATCTCACTCCAATCAACAAGCAGCAGAAATACAGACTACAGTCCTATGCTTTAAAGCACTTGGACCAAACAGGGGCTGAAGACCATTTCAGGCCTGAAACAGGAGGAGCTGTGTAGGAGGTCCCTGTCAGACCGTCCACGACCAGGTGGGCCCACTACGCAGGAACTGGGCTGGAGGAACCTGTCAGGGTTGGTTGTTTTTCTACTTTGTGGCTACACTTCTGCCAGTGGGGTAAGACCTGTGGTGTCCTGAATGCTGAGGGATTCAGGTGGACCCTGTCCATCAGCGAGGCCCCCAGGACAACAAGCACACAGCTAATGTCCTGGAGGTCCTGGAAGTCCTGGAGGTGATGGTATGGCCCCCTCAAGTCCATCTGCTTGGATTCAGCTTTCTCCCCAGGTCATTCACTGCCTTTCATTAAGTGATGAACATAAAGCATTCCCAGGTTTGAGGCTGCAGACGGGGTTTTTCCAGCAGCACCTCCTGCTCATGGTAGAACTTCTCCAGCAGGAGCCTCAGAGCTTCAGCAGCTCCGGTGCTTCAGCTGCTTACCTCCATCAGTGTCCTCTTGGCCCCGTCACAGGCCGCCTCCACCTCCGCCTGCTTGGTCTGCAGCTGTCAGCACAAAGACACCAGATCTGAGTCTGTTACTTTCTGCATCTTCAGAACTTCTGCATGATCCCAACAGCTGGACGCTCTTCAGCTGTTGGGTTTAAACTGGGAGCTCCATCCAGACCAGACTGGGAGACACTGGTGGATTTAAAAAGCCCAAATCTAACCAATAACATTACACCTGGCTCATCAGAACTGCTGGTGTGACCAGTGGTCTCCTGAGCCAACAGTGCATGAGCTGGGGCCTCCGGCAGAGGCCAGAGGGCCTGGTAGGGTCAGTGGGGGGGTGCGTTACCTCCTCCAGCTCCTGGCTCTTCTGCTGGATGTTCCTGCTGAGGGAGGCCACGGCCCGGCGGTGCTGCTGCAGCGGGCCGAAGCGCTCCAGACGCTCCTCTGAGGACAGCTCCGCCTGCTGCAGGGACAGGGCAGGTTCAGGGCCAGGTCAGGGCCAGGTTCAGGGCCTGGTTCAGGGCCTGGTCAGGGCCAGGTTCAGGGCCTGGTCAGGGCCTGGTCAGGGCCAGGTTCAGGGCCAGGTCAGGGCCTGGTTCAGGGCCTGGTCAGGGCCAGGTCAGGACCAGGTCCAGGACAGGGCCAGGATCAGGTCCTGGTCAGGGTCTGGTCAGGTCCAGGTCAGGGCTCCGCCTGCTCCTCAGGCCGGCCAACTGGCTCACCTTCTCAGCGTAGGCCGAGGCCATCTGCCGGATCTCCTCAGACTGCAGACCCACTATCTGACCCACAGCGCTGGCAGTCAGCTGGCCCTGAAACAGACCCAAAGCAGACCCATCATCAGTCTGACAATCTGAAAACAGTCTGATGGTCTCAGCGTGGAGCAGCTCTGCTGGACCAGAACCCGCTGAGGACCGGAGGGACCAGCTGGGACGGCTGAGAGTTCAGGGGGACGGGAGCTGGACCCTGAAGACCTCTGTAGGCACCAGGGACCTGGTTTGATAGGGGAAGCCGGGGGTAACCAGTGGTAACCGGGGGTAATTGGTGTGTAATCGATGACCAGAGGGGGGAACTGAGACTTTCTGGGCTGATTGAATACCGGACAACACATTCTGGATCATCTGTAATGGTTTTACCCGCCAGGCTGGAGACTCAGGAAGACACAGACAGCCAGGGCGGGGGCTGGGGGGGCAGGGATGGACAGATCTTTATGTTTAGTAGTGTGAAGCCACAACATGGAGAAACGGAGGTAACATCTTCCACCCTTCTGGCTCTAACAGGTTTTATGAAAGGGAAGAAGTAATGTAGGAGGGAACGTCTCTGACTGGGTATCTTCGTATCAGACTCCTCATCCAGATTCCAAACGAACGCCACCCAACAGGCCTCGTGTGTCTTTCATGGGGAGCTCACCTCCTCATTCAGCATGGCAGCCATGTTGGTCATCAGGGTCTTGATTCTCGTCTAAACATAAAAGTAAGTCAGGGTTAAGGAGCAGAGCTCAGACAGGTTTATTCTCTGTTAACCACATCTATAGCATGATAGTAAAACAGCCAATCAACACAAATGGTCCCTTTCCATGGATAAAGGGTCCTGATGGCCCACTGGAAAACTTGGAAATGTTGATTTCAGACTCACTGAGCCAGCTACAAACAGCCCGGTGGGCTGAAATATCCCATTAGAGCTCACCTCCTCTGCTGCCTGTAAGTCCTCCTCCACGGCCTCTGCCATCCCTGGGGGGGGGCCCTGAGAGCCAGTGGTCTTCCCCTCCTCAGCCTAGAGAACAGCATGGTGGGGTGACCACACATTACAGCTCAGGCCTTGAAACAAACTCATTGAATCTGTTTCCACATTTCTCTGAGCTCATCATAACAGGCCTAAAGGATGAAAGGCCCAAAAGCCCCTACCTGCTCCTGCCTGGCCTGCTTACTGAATCCATAACGCCTGTTACAGAGAGAACAGAGAGACATCAGGAAAGAGGCGTTCACTGAACAGCCACCACGCCATGCCACATTACTGCTGTCCCCCTAAAGCCAGGCGTACACTGGGCGGTTTTCTGCCCCCTTTTGACACCATTTTCCCCTGGTGCTTGAACCTCCTGGATCAGGTTCCAGCTCCTGGAGTCTCACATGGAGTCGTCCACACAGAGTGAGGAGCAGACATTAACCTGTCACCTCCTCCAGATCCACATCCTCTGGTGGGAGGAACACCAGACCGGTCTGAGTTTCTGGTGGGCCCTGGTGAGGGAGTCCTGTTACTGGAGCCACGTTAGGACCCGACTCCCCTCCATCTCTGGCTCTGGGGGTCAGCAGGGGATCAGGAAGTTCTGTGTAAGTAGTTGCTGCTCCCTCTGGTTCAGGCTGTAAAGCTGACCGGTCGTGTTGACCACGTCTGCTCAACCGTTTCCTCCAAATGCTCCAAACACGCCGGTTTCTGTTTTTAAAGCTTTCAGCTCACACTATTTTAGCTCTGGGGACCCTCATGTTCCCTCCCTGTTGTTCCACCTTGTCTTCCAACCATACGATTTGGTGCAGTTTGAGCTGGAGCTATGAGAAAACATCTCCCAGTGTACGCCCGGCTTAGGGGGGGGGGCACACACAACCCAGCAGCATCCCCCATGCCCCACATGTGAGCTGTCCATGGCCACAGGCCCAGACTGTACTTACAGGGGAGCGCTGCACACTCTAGAGGCAGATGGACGGAGGAGAAAACAGTTAGTCAGACAAAAGGGGACCGCTCTGCAGCAGCCAGCAGCTGGAGGGACTCAGAGGGCCCCCAAGGGCCCCGCCGCCCGGCTGCAGACACGTCAGCTCACAGACCG